AGAACTTAAAATCCCACAGGTCTCCACTGTGGATTTACACATTTCCCCTCACTTCCCAGATTCTTTCTACTGTTGACAAAATTCCTGTCTCTCTCTTAAATTCTAGGCTCTAGTTGTGAAACTTAATCTCACCCAATGGGAAGTATGGGCAGTAGCAAGGAGCCTGATTTTACTTCCAAACAAATTCAAAGCAGCAGAATAAAATTAATTTTGTTCAATGACTTTCATTTTTTTTTAAAGATTTTATTTATTTATTCGACAGAGAGAGAGAGACAGCGAGAACAGGAACACAAGCAGGGGGAGCAGGAGAATCAGGCTTCCCGCAGAGCAGGGAGCCCGATACAGGGCTTGATCCCAGAACCCTGGGATCATGACCTGAGCCGAAGGCAGACGCTTAACGCCTGAGCCACCCAGGTGCCCCTGTTCAATGACTTTTAGAAAATACGTGCTATCTTTCAAATCAAAATCAAAATTTTATTTGAGGAAGAGACGCATCCAATAGCATAAAAGAATATATCTCAGAGATTGTTTTTCTTTAATATATATAGCTAAAAAGGAGATTTACCTTTGAGCATAAAAAAACACAAAGCACAGAAAATTTCTCCAACTAGATATGAAGCATCTTTAGCACAGGGACTACATCTTATCCTTTTTCTATAAGCACTTGGCTCAGGGTATATGCTCAGTGTATGCTCATCACTGACTGATTCTGAAATGGGGGGGAACCTAAAAAGTCCTAGATGTGACCTAAAATTTTATTAAGACCTATCTCTGTCAAAGCCTCACTAAGTCCTCAAATTCCATTATGGTCCAGAGAAAACTGAAGGAAAAAATAACAACAACAAAAAGAGAGAGAAGATGCTTTTGGGCAATTTGTACTATATTGATCATGGCTTTGCCTTAAAGCATGAAATACAGCCTCTGTTCAAAACATTCCTGTGTCTTTTAAATAGGTTGTCAAGAGGAAGATGTCCTTATCGGGGGAAAATAAATTGGAAATCAACAGGATCCCATTAAAATAAATCAAAAGCAATGCAATTCTAAGCTTAGTGGATATAGATCTTTCATGTGTTCAGCTTCAACCAGTTGATTATCGGGAATAGCAGGAATCACGAGTTCCTGGATGTGAAAAGCACCTGTTTACAAACAGGCCCCTCTGAGGATTTATAATTGGGTTACAGCAATCAATGTCCACCCTAAATCTAATAAACTCACTTTCCCTATTTCAGAATCAATACTTTCTAATAAGCAAAAGGGAACAGGAGAGGAGGGAAAAAACAATTCCAATCCAAGTTCCCTAAGAAGTTAAATTATTTTCGTAACTCTCCCTCCATTCGGAGCCTCATCTCATTAGTCTCTGTCATTATCAGAGGCAACTGGAATTTACCACCCACGCTTGTCTGAAATGTGACTGGAAACTAACATAGTCTCCTCCTCCTGCCAGCACTTCTACCCACAGAACACAGAAAAGGTGTTCTGAGGGTGATGGACTAAGAGCAGTGCAGAACCCCTAAAAGTTTTTTGGGGGATTTCAGAAATTAAGCCTCTGCTCTTAACTTTGAAAGTAAAATATCTGACTGGTAGAGCACATCAGTAATGGGAGTGTAATTTATGTCCTCCCAGTGTTTTTCTTCTCTTTCACAACCCTCCTCTTTGTAGAAAACCAGAAGCAGCTGAGGAGCAACAAGGCATAATGGAACAACCAACCAGCAGAACTGAGACTAGAATACAGGTGTCCTAACCACCTATATGACACTGAGTAAGTCACTGTGTTCCTAGTTTCCTTACACATAAAACAAGGAGATTGAACTAGACATATCACTGAATGATCCTCTCAGCATCACTGAAATACCACAAGTACATAAGAAACACCTAAATATTGTAAAGCACTAGTTTAGGCACTATGGGGTTACAAAGAGGAAACGACAGACCCGATCCTCTAGAAGCTCAGGACCTATTGGCAGAGACAGATGCATAATAACCCCACAGCACAAGGCAAATCATGAGAAACAGAGTAAAAGTACAAAGAAAATGCTATGGTACCATGAGAAAGGGAAAGAAGCATTCTCTGACTACACTATGACCTCTGTTGATCCGGGATTTTAAATCCTGCTGGCGAAGAAGCAAATACAGCAAAGCCACAGTAATCCCACAGAAATGTCATCTTAGACTTTAACACAGTTTCTCAGAAATAAGATATGACAGGCAAAGTATAAAAGAGAATCAGGCAACATATCAATACTAATTTCACCTACCATCAAACTTAGGAATGGTTTCAAATCCCCCCAACCCCATGGTAAATCAATGAAGTCTTTTATTCCTAAACCTCAGGGACTGCTGGTCCCATGACCCGCAGCACAACTTCTCTCTGAAAGACTCAAGTCATACAACTTTTTAAGAATATCTTTAGGCAATCCAGCCACAAACATCTTAAGTGCACATCACTTCACATCCCTTCAGGATAAAACAACCAAATATCAAGATTTTATTTTTATTTTTTTAAAGATTTCATTGATTTAAGAGAGAGAAAGAGCACAAGCGGGGGTGAGGGGGCAGTGCACAGAGGGAGAGGGAGCAGCAGACTGAGCAGGGAGCCCGCTGTGGGGTTCAATCCCAGGACCCTGGGACCATGACCTGAGCCAAAGGTAGACGCTTAACCGACTGAGCCACCCAGGTGCCCCAAGATTTTAAAACCTAAAGCCAAACTCTTCCAATGTCTACTATGCAAGAAATGCTAGTTATATTTAGCTATTCACTTATTGTCCTCCTGAACACAACACAATACATGCCAACTCTAGTATCAGAAAATTAATTTAATAGAAATTCACTCTAATTTCCAAAGAGTTAATAGTTAATCTATCAAAAGTCTTAGTATTGTATCTTTATGAGATGATGGATGTTAACAAAACCTCTTGAGGGGGCACCTGGATGGCTCAGTCGTTAAGCGTCTGCCTTGGGCTCAGGTCATGATCCCGGGATACGGGGATCAAGCCTCACATCAGGCTCCCTGCTCGGCGGGAAGCCTGCTTCTCCCTCTCCCACTCCCCCTGCTTGTGTTCCCTCTCTCACTATGTCTCTGTCAAATAAATAAATAAAATCTTTGAAAAAAAAACCTACTGAAGTAATTAATTCACAATATATGTAAATAAAACCATCACGCTATGCACCTTATACACTGATGTATGTCAATTATTTTTCAATAAAACTGGAAAAAATCTAAAAACAAAACATCTTGGGCTTTAATCCCAATTCTTATACACTCATACTATAACTTTTAGTTTTCTTTCCTTCCCTGGGCTTCAATCTGCCAATCTGTAAAAAGAAGCAGTGGCAAGGATATGCAGAAAAGGGAACCTCTGTGCACTGCTGGGAATGTAAATTGGTACAGCCACTACAGAAAACAGTATAGAGGTTCCTCAAAATATTAAAAATAAAACTATGGTATGATCCAGCAGTCCCACTTCTGTGTATATATCCAAAGGAAACGAAATCACTGTCTTGAAGAGATATCTGCAGCCCGATGTTCGTTCACTGCAGCATTATTCACAATAGCCAAGATTTGGCAACAACGTAGGTGTCTATCAATGAATGAATGGATAAAGAAAATGTGGTACACACATACAATGGAATATTATTCAGCCACAAAAAAGGAAATCCTGCCATTTGCAACAACATGAATATGCTTATGTGAGGTGATGATGAATGTGTTAACTAACCTTAGCATGGTAATCATTTCATGTGTATCAAATCATCACACTGTATACCTTAAAGTGATATGCCAATGTTATATATCAATTATAATCTCCATAATATATCAATTATATCTCAATAAACCAGGGAATAAAAAAGCCATGGAATAACTCTCTGTAGGCTACAAATTTAATGGCCTATGGCTCTAGGTTCATACTGGTAACGGACTGTTAGCAAGTATCACCCTTTCTTCACTGTTGAGGGAGGCTCCAACCAAAACACTATAGGTAGATGCTGAGGTAAACATCCTAAAACATTTCACCCAGTACATAAGAAAAGAAAAAGGAGAAGAAAAGAAAAAAGGAAAGGAGAAAGAAAGAAAGAGAATAAAAACAAATATGCCCATCATCTAGAAAGAAAGAATGCACAGGTCAGACATTCCTTCACTCCACAGGTACTTACTGAGCATCTTATAGGTGCTAAGCACTAGGGATACAGCAGTGAACAAGACAGACAAGAAAACAGTTTTCATTCCAGAGGGGGGAAAGACAACAAACCTGTTGAGACAGCAATAAGTACCCTGAAAACTACATTAGACTGGGAGGTTAAAGTAGGCCTCTATGACAAGTGATATGTGGGCAGATCAGAATAACAGAAAGGAGACGGGCGCCTGGGTGGCTCAGATGGTTAAGCGTCTGCCTTCGGCTCAGGTCATGATCCCAAGGTCCTGGGATCGAGTCCCACATCGGGCTCCCGGCTCAGCGGGGAGCCTGCTTCTCCCTC